CGCGGGCCCTGCCCCCCCCCAGGCACGGCTCTCGCCGCGTGGGGCCCCCCCCCCAGGCACGGCTCTCTCCCCTTCCCTTCCCACGCAGGAGAATCCCATGTGCACCAAGCACAGAAACCAACACACTTTGCACCCCACTGGGGAGGTGACATCACACCCCAGTCCCGGCAGTGGCCTGGGTCGGTCAGGGCTCGTGCCCGGTGTGATGTGGGGGGGGTACCTTGCTGGTTGCTATGCTGGGCAGTGGGCTGTGGGTGACCTCTGCTGGCACCTTCCCTTCCCACGCAGGAGAATCCCATGTGCACCAAGCACAGAAACCAACACACTTTGCACCCCACTGGGGAGGTGACATCACACCCCAGTCCCGGCAGTGGCCTGGGTCGGTCAGGGCTCGTGCCCGGTGTGATGTGGGGGGGGTACCTTGCTGGTTGCTATGCTGGGCAGTGGGCTGTGGGTGACCTCTGCTGGCAGCAGCACGGCCCGGCAGGGGGATGAGTCATTATGCTCTCAACCTGTCTGACCAGCTACCCCCCATGGAGAGGAACAAAGGAAGGTGGATGCTGCCCTGGCTGGGGGGCAGGGCTGGGACAGAGTTGGTTAGTTTCTGTCTGGGAAGCAGGGGAGAAGGAGCTAGGGAGGGGGCTGGGATTGTAGGGCCCAGCCACCCCCCATCTCAAGGGGGGCACTGAGGCCTCTTAGCCCCAGTTCCTGTAACCAGATGACAGATGCTGGGCTGTATCCTGGAGAAGCAATAAACTCCCCTGTTCTCCTGGCTGGGGGAGTCTGTCCGTGCCATTCCGGGGGTGCAGGAGACGGGAAACCCCAACGCGCCGACACACCCGTCTCCATGTGAACAACCGCCCCAGCTCTGGGACCCTGTGAGCCGCTCCGGTCACAACCAGAGCTACTGTTTGGTAAACAGGCTGGAGCTGTGCAGAGCCACCCGCCCGCTGTCTGGCCCGGCCCGGCCCGAAAGGTCCCAGTTTAGAAAGACAAGGGATGAGATTTCCTTGGGCAGCCCGGCCTGTCTGCAGAGTGAAGTGACAGCCCCTCACCCACGCGCCCGGCCTGGCGGGGAAGGGGACTCGGCCCAGCGCAGGGGGACCTGGCTCTGTTGCACCCGCCGCCCCCTCGCGCAGAGGCT